TGCTTTCTTACACACTGCCATTAATCCCTCTCGTTTCCCTCATCCCGTTGTTTTTGCCACTTTCTGAAGCAGCCCCGAAGACCTGTTTCACGTGTCTTTACAGGATGTGGGCAAAATGACAGTGAATGCTGCACCCCGGTGCCATCCAGTGGAAAAGCAGCTTGTAGAAACATACCCTGTGTCCTCATCCACCTGATTCACTGGGTCTGGCACTGTTGTGACTGCTGGCTCCTACCCAAAGTCGAAATGACCACGAGGGGGAAACACGAATTCCACGTGGAGGACAAGACACTCACAAAAGGGCACTCCAGAGCTGCTTCAGAAATGGCCAGGACCATGGGATAAGTGTGCTCCAAGCTAGGATTCCGAGGGAGGGGAATGGCAATGTGTCTTTTACTATAATTTTCTTTTGTTTTGTTTTTTGTCCTTTTGAGACAGGGTTTCACCACGCAGTTCAGGCTGGCCTTGAGCTCACTTTGTAGCCCAGGCTGGTCTCAACTCACAATGATCCTCCTGCCTCAGCTGGGATTACAGGCGTGTGCCACCACGCCCGGCTCTAAATTGTTAAAATTTAAGTGCTCGCCACAGTTTTGGGTCATGATACATAGCTCTCACGGGACCAGGGAACATGCACTAAGCGCGGCCGCCCCGGCACATGCCTCTCTTCTGCAGGTGGCTGCCATCCCCCCTCTTCTTACCCTGTGTGGGTGAAGCCAGATGGGGCTGCCTGACCGGCCTCCAACACTGAGCTAAAGGACCTCTTTTCTCCAGTGTACACGTGCTCAGGTGTTCTCCATACTGTCAGAAAACGGACTAACGGCCCTTGTCCACGCGATGGCAGGCCGGCTCCTCCTTGCTGTCCCCATGCGTGGTTACAGTGACAGCCGCCCCCAGGCCCACGAGCCGGCCACACTGCAGCTTCACCGCCCAAGGCTGTCGTCCCCTCGCCCCAGCATTTGCCTCTGCACTGTCTGCCCCTGGTGGCAGACGTCACTGTCTCCCGCCTCTGGTCCTCCTCGACCTCTGAACCGGCCCAGTGGAGCCCAGCCGGCCGGTCCCCAGCAGCTCCACCCTCAGCCCTCGCACGGTCCCCGCTGTGGCCCCGCGCTCTGCGGCCCTGGCGGAGAGATCTAGGAGGTGGAAGCATCACAGCCGAGCACAGCCCCGCTGGTGCTTGCCACCCTGTGTCCCTGCAGCAGGTCCCGTCCCCTCCGTGGACGTTCCTGCCAGGCTCCCGCTGGGTCTGTTTGTCCAGACCTGAACACAGTGGCCCTGCCAGGGATGGCCTCACGGGTAGTGCCTTCTCCCAGGAACCCGCTGGCAGCCGGGGCTCAGCAAGCTGAGCGAGGGGCACCCTGGGCATCGGCCTGCTCCCTCTGCTGTGCATGGGCCTAGGAGGATGTGCCTGGCCAAGCCACCACCAGCTGTGGGCACCTGGGCCCCATGAGGAAGCCGAGACACGGCTGGGGCCTGGTCCTGTCCCAGGCCTCCCCAGGGCCCCGCTACTGGAGGTGCCGCTCTAGGGGTGGCTGTCATTTGCAGCCACAGACCTTGGTCCCTCGGCCACCCTGAGAGCTGGGGGCACTGGCCGGGGCCATCCCGGCTCCTCCTGGGAATCGCCCTCACTTCAGGGGACCTCCATGGGACCCTCCCCTGAGAAGTGGGAGTGCCACCCCCACCCCTAGATCACAAGAACCTGCCCAGCCTCATGGCTGGTGAAGGGTCACCTTGTGAGGGACGAGAGGGTATCCTCCTGCTTCAGCCTCTCAGAGAGCTGGGATTACAGGTGTGTGCCACCAGCCTGGCTTGGGACTTCGTGCCTTGACACTTAGAGCTTTGCCTGTCCCTGGAGCACACGGCTCTGGGACTCTGTGTGTCCCGTGTGCAGATCCCCCTAGGCGGCCTCTGCCCTGCCCAGCCTGCCCCACCAGCCTCACGCCTTCCGGTGGAGTCTCAAGCAGAAGTCAGCAGGGTGTGGTGGAATGCCCCTGTAATTCCAGCTATTCCGGAGGCCAAGGCAGGAGGATCACGAGTACAAGTGCAGCCTGGACAAGTAAGGAGACCCTGACTCAAATTTTATTTTTTTTCTTTTTTTTTTTTTTTTTTGTGCTGGGAATCAAACTTAGGACCTTGCACTTGCCGGGCAGGCGCTTGTGCCGCTGAGCTAGATCCCCAGCCTGACTCAAATTTTAAAAGGGTCGAGAAGCTGAAC